TTGTCCAGATATCTGACTTGTAGCCATAGCACTATGTCAGGCATCCACGTCTAAGGGGACTGGTTGGCCTTATCCTTCATCGACGCTGCCCATTCCAATGATTTGCCTCCCCCCAAGCACGGGTTGCAAATACGCTGATTTTGCGGGCAAATAAACAAGGTAAAGCAAATGCGCCCGGTGCTGCTTTCGCCGCAGAAAAGAGTGTAATGTTGGCTCGCCCGTCATGTTCTTCGGTCTTTGGTCGCTTTCAGGAATTTCACTGGAGGCTTCGGAGGCGTCGGAGGATATAGGAAAGAGGTCGCGCCTAGCTGGCCACCGATCATCACGCATCCATCGAGTCTTTTTTTGCGGGAACGGCCCCAAACATATCAAGTGGAAGCCACTTCTTGTGCGCCAGTAGGTTCTGGAAGCAGGCTAATGGCAAGGAACGTACATAGAGTGGAAATGCACACGCTGACTGTGCAGTTGTTCTCAACATCACGCAGTTTTTGAAGCTTTCTCGTTCCGCAAAATGCAGGAGCCAGAACAGGCCCAACAAGGGGCTTCAACAAAGCGTCCATGTCGCTTCAGTCCTAAGGAATATACACAAGGTAGTCACATATTTTAGGACTAGTCCTTCTTCTGTGTCACCATGGTGAGGAAAAAAAATTCGAGTCCAAGAACGCGTGCAGCTGGCTGCTTTGGTGCTTGTGTCTGCACGTGCTGACGCCTTTCAGTACCCTTTACTCCAAAGGTTGAACACATTTTGATGAGGTACCGCTGCGTATGCCGCCGCATACCCCCGCAACGCCTCCTGCAGATGCGGCCTAGCAGCTAGCAGCACGGCTTTGCGATTCCCATAGACTAGTGAATCATTTGATATATTTTACACATGGGACCACGGTTCACCGACATTTTTCAACCAACCAGACAGAGTAGCTACAACCACAACGGCCAAGACACGACACAATTTGTACAAGTTTGATATGCAGAATTTGTACAACGATCAAGGCTGCTTTTGTCAAGTAGGACCTTTGGGATTCTTCCAACCACTGCGTCCTTGCTTGGTGGCGCTTGAACTGGAGCTGCCCAAAAGAAGGGTCATGGGGTGTCTATCCTCAGATCTAGCTTTGAGGGTGTTGGTCGTTAAGTTTTCACTGTGATCTCTTCCTATGAAGCTCCGTCTGCCAGTCAAAGCGGTTGCCGCGCCTCCAATCTGTTAAACGTCGAAGGTCGGTTTCAGATTGAATTCCCATGTTGCGTTTCCAAGTGGCAGCGCATGTTGCTGACTACTGAAATGGATTTCGCTCTTTCTTCTGACATGTTGTCGCACGTCAAAT